CTCCATCATATGGGTCACGCAGGCTTGCAGAGCCTGAAAAGGGGCCTTTCCAGTGTCTTCAGGGCTGTCCTGGGGCCAGGGAGAAGTCAGATCTAGGGACCCAGGAGGTAGATTAGGCCGATCCCAGCCCCGTGAGAGGAGGGAGGCAAGGGCACAGGAGGAGAGTGTGCTACACTGGGGCTGGGGTGAGGGGTACCTAGAGACCCTGACTGGAGGCAGTGTGTTCCTACCCTCTTGGTTAGCTGATGGATGAGTAAAAGAAATCTTTCTTGGCTCGATTTATAGATAAGGAAGTGGAGGAATGGGGACAATAATCTTGCCCAAACCAAAAGACATGGTGGACCAGACCCCTGGATTGCTGACTTGCAGCCTCCAGAGACCAGGTCCCATCCAACGCCCCTCCTCTCCTGATCAAGGGGTGCAGAGAGGAGCCTAGGCTGAGGCCACTGCTGGGCCCCTATTGTACAGAGAAGCAAATACACGTGTTTCTTTGCTTCCTCCCGGCACCAGAGTCTGCTGCCCCAGGAAGCACTCCTCCAGAGCCTCGCGGTGTCCTGTGCCCCCAGCATTCACCTGGAATTGAAGCTCCTCAGTGAGGTCTGAGACATAAGAGGTCAACAGCAGGTCCTGGGCTCCCCGGCCCTGTGCCAGAGCTGAGTGTGGGGTCAAGGCAGAAAATAACAGCCTTCCCAGTCTCAGCACCAAACCTTTAAGACCAGCTTTTGAAACCCCTCCTCACTGGGGCTGTCACAAGGCTGAGATGTGGCCCACGCAGCCTTCCTCAGAGTGCCTGGCACACGCCGAGGGTTTACGTGGGGCAGGACATGGCCATCCTTTCTTCAACTTGGGGTGCAGGTCAGTGACGTGAGCCCCATGCAGAGGTGCAGCTCTACCGAAGGGTCTAGTGAGCACCCTGAGAAGAGAGGAGGGGAGGGGTGGGTGGGTAAACAGTGGGACACTGGGAAAGTCCTTTCAGAAGAAGAACAATTTAAAGGAATGACAGGGTCCAGGATGTGAGCACAGGAGGGTAAAGTGAGTCAAAGGAGTGAGAGACTAGACTGCAAGTGACAACCAATTCACGTGAGCCAACGTAAAAAGCAATGTATCAGCTCACGTGGCAATCAAGTTGAAACTATTTTCAGGCATAGCTAGATCCAGAGGCTCTGTTCATGTTCTCAGGTGTCTGTCTGTCCATTTCGTGGGTCCAGCTTTCTGTCCTGGCTCCTTTTTCAGGTGGGCTTTCCCTGTGTATTGACAAAGATGGCTACTGGCAACTCTGGACCCCTGTCCCTACCTGGGGGAAAGAGCACCTCTTTCCTAGAAGCTCCAGGAAGAGTCCCAGGATTGACTATGATTGAACTCACTGGGGTCAAGAACCATTTCTGACCCAGAGGTTGTGGCACAGTGAACAACTGAACACTCAGTGGCCGGGTCTTCAGTCACATAAACCTCCCTGGGACTAGACAGTCAAATCCCCAGAGCCAGGTGGCCTGAGAGTAGGGTGGCTCGGGTCCCCAGAAAAATATGACAGTGTTCTTCATTAACAGAAGAGAGAGACCTGCCCCACGGGGAGCTGGTCCACAGGTGCTCCCATGCTCCTGGAAAAGGCAGGTCTCAGGATAGAGAAGACAGCAAGCCAGGGGCCCAAGTGTGCACGGGATGGAGACAGAAGACAGGAGAGTGGTGGGGGCAGCAGCATCAAAGTGGGAGGCCACTGGGAGAACCAGATGATACGAGCAACAAAGGGTGGATTTGGGTGGGAAATAGGGAAAGGCAGTGTGGAATACGAAGGCCCTGAAGGACACTTTGGGGTCGTGGAGCTCATGAGATGTCCGCAAAGGACGGATGGTCGGCAGTGGGGGCCTCTGGTTAGGAGGGCTCAGAGGAAGGGGGGGTGCCCAGTGTGATCATTGCACAGAAAGTGCAGGGTCCATGTGCCTGGGGTCCCCGTAGCAGCCCTTCTGAACCCTGTTGGAACCTGAGTCACCAGGGAGCTGAGCAAAAAGCCAAGGTCTGGGTCCGGGCCTCAGCACTCTGACTTAGACCATTGGGGTGAGCCTACGTGGCATCTGGGCTTGGGTTTCCAATTTAGGGAAAGGGGGTGGAATCTGAGGGATCACGTTCAGCTGGTCAGGAGCACCATCCCCTCTAATCCTGGGTAGGCCTCGGCCTCTCCTGACTTCTAGCTGCTGATGTCCTATTAGCTGGCCCTGCATACAGGAGCTGGGCTGGCACAATGGCCCTGCAGCATGGCACTGGGCATCCCCCCAACCCCGCACACTGCCAGTAGCTGAAACTGGTACTGATCCCTGGACTGGCAGGGTGGGTGCAGCGGTCAGGCCTGACCCACCATGGTCCTGCTGTCTACAACCTAGATCTCCTGCCTGCCCCCTGGATGCCCACAGTTGCCCAGAACCAGAATAGTCGAAGCCAAGGCTAGCATCCCATTTCTTCCTTGGCCCTAATGACAGGGCCCCCTAACTGCCATCAGTCACAGGTCTCCATACTTGGGAGGTGGGGAGGTGGTTCTTCTTGTTCTCAAACCTTCTGCCTAGACAACAATGATGGGCAGAGGAACTTGGCTTCCTTCTTCTCCACTGGCAGGGAAGCTTGGGCGGGGCAGGCACCTCTGCTGGTTGTGCCCACCATCGTGTCCTCCCTCACAGCCCAGGCCAGGACAAGGCAGGGGAGACTCATGCTGGCACTGGGCCCTGCAGTTCCCAGAGGCAGGAGGCAATGGGCAGCAGGGAGACCCAGCCAAGACTTCAAAAAACTAAAAGAGCATGTGGAGTGACCACTTGCCCCAAGGGTCTGCAGGGTGGTAGGTGGCTGAAGGGTTTGCCCTGTGACCTCACGCTGGGGCAGGATAGTGACTGCCGGGCCTGGGTCAGGGATACGGGCAGGCCAGAGGGGCTTCTCCAGTGATGCTCCCTCCCCTCCCCTAGTGCCCTTCCCCCACCACCTGTAGTCTCTAAGAGAGATCATCTCCCATCTGTCACTGACCCCTAGCCCAGGCTTACCTAGCTTGGTACATGTACATACCCACTGTTCTAGAACATTCCCTAGCTTCCCACTGCCCCAGAGCCTTCCTTTTATAGGGCTGTCTTCATAGGAAGATCCATCAAAGGCTCACTTGCTCTTAAGTACAACTGTCACATATACTGGACGCCAGGGTGTCTCAGGGCAGAGGATCATTCTTCCCAACTTGTCCAATAACCCTCTGGTCCCGTGTGCACTTCAGATCAGCCAACAAGCAGAGGATCAATGCCTTGCTCAGGCCACACCTCGGGCTGTGCTCAGTGAGCCAAAGCCCAAGGCCTCTACATTTCCAATATCGTTGTCGCATCAACACAAAGTCTCAGTGAATCCCGAATAACTAACCTCTGCAAAGGCCCAGCCTGGTGTGACCTTGTACGTGCTGAGGGGCCCTGCTCAACAAACTCCGAAAAAAGCCAGGGCTGCGCCCCCACCCCACCGCCACCCCCACCAGCGATCTCCAACATCTTTCCACCTCTGCTCACAGAGGGAGAGATCGGTTGGTCCCTCGAGGGTTCCTCCGGGATCAGCCAACCGCCCCCTCCCCCGCAGTTACCACTCCCGCGCGGGGAACTCCAAGCTCCAGGCCTACCTCGCTAACATCCGGGGTCCCCTGGACCCTTGGGACCCCATCCAACCCAAGCCGCGCGCCGACCGCGCCCAGCCCTACTCCACTCGGAAGAAAACGAGAGCGGTTCAAAGGTTTAAACAATTTATTGTGCCCCAAAAAGGCCGGCGGGATGAAGGAAGGCCGCGCGGCCCGCGCCCCGAGCGATTGTTTGTCGCGCACCCAAAGGCGGAGGGTGGGGAATGGGGAAGGGCGGCGCGGCGGCCGGGTCTCTGCTCACTAGGGCCTGGCCACCCCGCGGCCCCCGCCCAGGCAGGCAGGCGCGGCCGCGGCCATTGGCGCCTAGGGGCCGGTAGCCATGGCGACGGCCGTTGCCAAGGGCGAGAGCCAATAGGGGCGTCGCCAGGCCGTTTCAAAAATCTAAAGCAAAAGCAACAACAACAAAAAAAAAATACACGCTACGGCGGCGGGGGAGGGAGGGCCTAGTAAGGGATGGAGCGGGTCCGGGGCCCTCCGTGCGGCTCAGAGCAGGGGCGGCGGCGGCCGGGCCGGACAACCGTACAAAACCTACATACACTCGGGGTAGAAAAACCGAACGCCGGGAAGACCCGGCAGGCCGGCGCGCTCACTTGCGGCCCTTGGGCACCTTGGGGACGCTGGGCTTGGCCGCCTTCTTCACCTTCTTGCCCCCGGCGGCCGCCGCCTTCTTAGCCTTGCTGCCTTTGTCCTTCTTGGAGGCGGCGCCCTTCTTGTGCGAGCGCTTCTCGGGCTTCTGGCCCTTGGTCGGTTTCTTGTCCGCGCGCCGGGGGCCTGCCGCGCCCGGGGCCGCCTTCTTGGCCTTGTGCGCGGCGGGCGCTGGGGCGGTGGCGGCCGCCGTGGCTCCGCGCCGCTCGCCGCCGCCCTCCAGCTTCTTACGGTTGAGCTTGAACGAGCCGTTGGCGCCGGTGCCCTTCACCTGCAGGAGCGTGTCGTTCTGCACCAACGCCTTGATGGAGTACTTGAGGTAGGTGCGCCCGTTCTGCTGGTCGAACCACGCCACCTTCTTGGCCTCCGCGTAGATCTTGGCCAGCGACGAGCCGTTGCGCTCGCCCAGCCTGCGGATAGTCTCCACCACCAGCTGGCTGTACTTGCCCGGCTGGTTCTTCTTCTTGTTGTTCTTTTTCTTCTTCGACGGGGACAGCGCCGCGGAGCCGCCAGCCTTGGCCGCCTTCTTGGCCGCCCCCTCGGCGGTCGTCAGCGGCAGGGCCTCCTCCAGCTCCACAGACATGGTGGCGAGCGGGTTGGTGGCGGGCGGGGCGCGAAAGCCCGGGGGCCGCGCCGGGAAGAGGAAGGCGAGGGGCCGAGGGGGCGCCGGGGGACTGGGGGCGCGCGGCGGCTCCAGGCGGGAGCGGCCGCGGCCGGGCCTGGGGCCGGGCGGCAGGGCTGGGGCGGGGGCCGGGCCGGCCGGAGCAGGAGGTCCCGGGCTGGAGCCGGGGCCGGAGCGGAGGGGGGTGTCGGGGCGGAGAGGGCCGGAGCCGGGACCCGGCCGGAGCGGAGAGATCCGCCAAGGGAGTGCCGCGGCTGCCGCTACCGCTGCCGTCGCCGGAGCTCGCTGGGCGTGCGCGCTGCGCTCTGGTGAGGAGGGAGCTCCGCTCCCCTTTTATAGCTCGATGGCGGACCACGTTGAGAACAACAACAGCCTGGTCTGGAGCCAGCGCCAACTTGTGCTTCTTGGAGCCCCTTCCTCGGCCGCTAGCTTCCCGCATCGCGCCCCCCGGGCACCACCAAACCCTCGGCCGAGCGCCCCGGACAGGGCCCGAGCCTGCGGCGCAACGGAGAGATGGCCTGCGCCCGGGAAGGGCTCAGCAGAGGGGAACGGAGGGGTGCACCCTATGCTGCGGGAGCGCGAGAGGAGGGGGGCACCCGGTTTGGGGGCAAATAGCGAGGGCCACGGGGGAGGCCACGCGGCCCGGAGCTTTGCGGCCGGCAGCCAAGAGTGCGCCACAGACACCCAAGCCCTGAGCGCGGTCCGGGGGCCCCCGGCCTGCCCGCAGGACGAGGTTTAATTTGTCCGAACTAACACAGGGCACGCCCTCACGTGGTCGGCTGGGGCAATGTGAAATGTGCTAGGACATCTTCGAGGGGGGTCTCCACCCGAGTCCGAGGGGATGGCGGCTGGGGGCGCCCTCCGGCTGCGCGCCCGGGGTCTTGTTATGCCTCGGGGGTCTGAGCCCCGCCCGGGAGGAAGTGGGGGACGACCGCAGGTGTCTCTCTACGGACATTTCCAAACCTCCCACCCCCCGCCCTCCGTCCCCGCCAAACTGGCGCTGATGCTCCAAGTGCCCCATTTTGTGGTGCGCAAGTAGCCGCCACCGTTCGCCCCAGAGCCAAATGGCGGTTCCACGGTGGAACTAGTGGAGCGAGTGACAGGCTGCGACCCCCGAAGGGGTCCTCGGACAGGATGGGGGAGGGGAGGTGCTGCGGCCACACCCCTCCCCCTGTCGTGGGGGAAGGGCGATGGAGAGCGGGTCCTGGAGACTCCTCTTCTAGCCCCCCTCCCTCTCGGCGCCCGGCGAAGTCCTCCGCAGGGGCTTGTGCAAGTCTGCGGCCCTGAGCCGGTCGGGGTGCAGCGTAACTACTGCCGAGGCGGCGCCGAACAGCCTTTCTCGAAGCCGAAGAAGCCTCTACCTGGGGAAGCTGAGACCATGGGGAGACACCCCGGGAGGAGAGCGGATCCCTTGGGAGTAAGTGGTTTTTAGGCCCGAGCATGGAGGGATGGATGGGACAGGGACGGTAGAAAATTGGGGTTCCTGGGGAGAGAGAGCTGGAAGCCGTGAAGTCCAGGAAGGGGGAAGCTGGGCGTGGGGGTGGGGGATCCAGGCCTTCTCTCCCAAGAGGCCCCTGTCCACACGCACCCTTTTCCCAGAGCAGGCACAGACCCCATTGGCCCCTCAGACAAATTAGTGAATAAGGCCCCGGAGAGGAGGAAATTGAGGCTGGGAAAGGTGAGACGGAATGGGGTTTCTTTGCAGTAGGGGGTGATCAGTGGCATTGACCCAGAGGAGGGCTCGTCTCCCAGGGCAGTGAATACAGCCCATAGGAGGAGGAAGATAAGCCCAGGTCCCTGCAAAGAAGGCCAAGTCCCTCTCCCAGGAAGGAGGACACCCCCCCAACAAACACACATACCCAAGTGAACTGTCTGTCAAGCTGGGGAAACTTGGCCAGCCTAAGACCTCAGCCAAGGTGAGAAAAGACCATTAGGAGTCTCCTAGCAGAGACAGGTGGGTTTCTGAAAGCAGTGCTGGCTGAGCCCCGGGGGGCGCCTGGGGAACAAAAAGGTCTTGCAGAGAGGGCATGGCCTGAGCGAAAAATCACAGGTTCCGGAAATGCAGAGGCATAATGCAGTGAGAGAGAGAGATGGAGGAGTGTCCATCCAGGAGCTGAAGCCACCCAAGACGGAGCAGAGGGCACGGAGGTGGGTATGGCGACTCCCTAGCATGGTGGACCAGGGTGCTCAGAGCTGGGGCTGGAACAGGGACACCAGGAAGAGAGCTGGCCCCAGGGGACCAGCTGCAGGGGGAGGCAGCCCAGTGACTGGCCTGGAGGGGCTCCAGCTTGGTCTCTGAAGGATCAGAGAAAGAGTAGAGGGTGATGCCCTTGCTGGTACCCCAGCCTGGCCAGCAGGGGCACCCCCAGACTGCTGTTTGTCCAACCATCCAGGAGAGAAGGTCGCTGGAAATGTGAATCTGGAGAGTTGGTGGCGGCAGCAGCCTGGGTCAGGGATGTCTTCCCCGGGGTCCTTGTGCAGGGAAGAGGAGGATGTGGAAGTGGTAGGAAAGGGAGGGGTGCTCCATGGGAGACAGGGGAAGAATGGTCAGAGAGGAAGGAGGGAACCAGTGGTGGCTGGTGTCATGGAAGCTAAGGAGGAGAGAGTTTCAAGAAAGAAGGGCTGGCCTGTCACAGTGCAGCCCATTCAGAAAGTGGATCAATCTTATCGATCAGCAGAATGGACAGGTTCAGCAGAGCTGGAGAGACTGGCAAGTCTCCATCCTCTAAGCCCCTCTGGCTAGAATCTGCCTGTTTTGCCCAGTGTTTTGGGGTGTGTGTGTGTGTGTGTTTAAAGATTTTTATATATATTTATTGGCAGAGAGATAGAGAGCACAAGTAGGCAGAGAAGCAGGCAGAGGGAAATGGAGAAGAAGGCTTTCCACTCAGCAGGGAGCCCATGCGGGGCTCGATCCCAGAACCCCGGGATCATGACTGGAGTGGAAGGCAGTCGCTTAACCAACTGAGCCACCCAGATGCCCCTTGCCCAGTGTTTTATTTTTATTTTATTTTATTTTATTTTATTTATTATTATTATTTTTTTATTTGACAGAGATCACAAGTAGGCAGAGAGGCAGGCAGAGACAGAGAGTGTGGGAAGCAGGCTCCCCGCCGAGCAGAGAGCCCGACGTGGGGCTCGATCCCAGGACCCTGGGATCATGACCCGAGCCGAAAGCAGAGGCTTTAACCCACTGAGCCACCCAGGCCCCACTTGCCCAGTGTTTCAAAAACAAAAACAACTAAATTAGGTCCAGGATTGAAAAATCAGCCGATTTCAGATAAAAATATGTCCAGATCTCAGCTTTCCTTTAAAAACAAAAAAACTGAAGATTCACCCTAGGTGGGGCCAGAAGGAACGGGGCCTGAGTAACCATTAGCCCTCTAGCTGGGCCAGACTCCCAGCACCTGGTCAGTATGGGGAGTGTGGCCAGTGTGGGGCAGACAGAAATTTCTCTAGCCCCTGGTGGCAGAGCGGGGACGCCTAGCTGTGATCAGAGAGGAGAAGGAATCAGAGGAGGGGGTGGACATGTGTAGGCAGGGCGGTGTGACCCAGGCCATGGGGAGGATGCAGAGGACCTGGCTCGGAGTCCACACCACCCCTGGTGGGCTCTCTGGCATGCTGGTGGAGCAGGTGCTTTTGCTGGTGGGGAGGGAGTTGCTGCCTGTGCACCTGTGAAGCAGGGCTCCGGGAGACTAATTTTAGGGCCTTGGAAATTGGCAGAGACCAAATGGTTTCATCCCACTCGCCTGGTGATACAGAGGAGGCCACAGGCTTGGGGGATGGAGGATAGTGGTTTCATCCAATTAGCCAGGATTCTAGGCCTGGGGTCCTGCCAGCCTTCAGGGATGCTTCTCAGAGCCCACACTCCCAGGTAGCCCTGTTGTGACCCCTCTAAGGAAATGTAGACGGGGAAGGCCTCAAGTAACTAAGGAAAAATGATGGACAAAGAAACATCAGAAGTGGCCAGAGCTTAGCAGAGACGAGCCCCTCCCACATCAGCCCTCCGGCTGGGCCAGTCTTGGGAGTTAAGTGGGAGAGGGGCAGTACAGAATCAGGGTGGGTAGGTGGGTCCTTCCTCCTTAGTGAGCTCCTCCTCCTTTAGTCCTGTGGCTCCAGACACCATCTAGACACCGATGACACCCCATTTGTCAGCCCTCATTCCTGTCTCTCTCCTGACCCAACAGACCGCCCGCCAGCCGCCAACTCTACTGGGATGTCCAAGCATAGCTCTCTCCAGGAGGAGGCCAAAACAGGCCTCTGTTTTCTCTTGCAAACCTGCTCCTCCCCGAGGTTTCACAGACAATTCTAGCCCCAAAGCATAGGCTTGGCCTCGATTTCTTTTTCCCTCTACCCTCTCATTCAACCTATAGATTCCTGTCTCCTCTATTCCCAAACAGGTTCCTCCCCAAGCCCTGGAGTTCTCCACCCTTCCACTTTGGGCTCTCCAGGCCTCTCCACACAACAGCAGCAGCAGCAGCAGCAGATGGAGCCGCTAACACAGAAGTATGACTTCCTGCATCCCCCCCTCTGCCCAAGGGCCTCAGGCAGCTTCTTATCACACTAGGATGCGTCTACACTCAGCCACATTGGCCTTTTTGTTCCTCACACAGACCGCAGGGGTAGGGGGGGCTTGTTCCACCACAGGGCCTTTGCACTTGCTATGTGGCTGACAGCAGTTATTCCCATCTCAGTCCTTGAGAGCCTCTTCAGGGTAGCCACCACCTAGCCAGCCTGGCTGAATGAATACCTCTGGAGAATTCCTGTATCACATCACCCTGCTTGATTTTCTTCATAGCACTTATCATCACCGGACCCCATTTGGTCTGTTTAAAATATTTTTTTTTTTAGATTTTTATTTATTTGGCAGAGAGAGATCACAAGTAAGCAGAGAGGCAGGCAGAGAGAGAGAGAGGAGGAAGCAGGCTCCCTGCTGAGCAGAGAGCCCAATTCGGGACTCCATTCCAGGACCCTGAGATCACGATCTGAGCCAAAGGCAGAGGCTTAACCCACTTAGCCACCCAGGCACCCGGTCTGTTTATGTGTATACCAGGCACTCTGTAAGAACAGAGTTGGGTCTGCCTTGCTCCACTGCACCCCAGCCCTGGGCACACCCCCCACCCCCACCTGGTTGGCGCCCTGCTCACTGCCCTCTGCCACCTGGAGACAGTGCAGGTTTGCCCACAGCTGCCGCTCCAGGAAAGGGAGCTGGGAGGCAGGAGTTCCTGGCGGGGCTTGGACCCCGGCACTCCCACAAACTTCACGTGTGACCCACCGCTCCCCCCGCAATGACTCTGCCCTCAGTTCCCCAGTTTGTGAAAAGATGTTGGATGTGTGCAGCGCTCTCCAGCTTTGGCAGCCCAAGTCCGGACTTCTGAACAGAGATGTCCTCAAGAGAAGGGAGGACCCGCAAGAATACAGCCTTCCTGGAGAATGAAACACGAAACAAAAGACCCCGGTGTCGAGCAGAGTGTGGAGTCTGGGTCTAGGATGCAGAACCCTGGGGCTCTAGGTGGGCTTCTGTGCTTCCGTCAGCCTCAGTGTTATCATCTGTAAAAGGGGTGTCTACCCTAGAGCTCCAGCAGAGGCACCTCTGCGCGGGAGAGTTTCCAGAAGGCCTGGGTGGGAGTTACCAGCCTCAGGGACAGGATTCTGAGGCCCTGCCGCCTGAGGGCCCCTCCCCAGGGAAGGCCCCGTTGGCTGTTAACCTGTTGAAGGCCAAAGAGTCTGTCTCCCCAAAACATGTTTTAAACCGAGAGGTTGGCTCCATCCTAGGCCTGGACTGGGAGGGAGGGTGGCAGGGCACAGTTTGGGATTTAAAATATAGAGAGTCACTAAGTACTTTTCAGCATTTTTTTTTAATATGCAAATTATTTTTTTAAATTTCTTTTCAGCATAACAGTATTCATTGTTTTTGCACCACACCCAGTGCTAAGGGAGACAAAGGGAAATTCACCCAGAGGACTGTGGGAAGGGTTGCCTTCAAGATGCAAAGGTGTATTGTGAAGTCCTGAATGGGGACATTGTTAGGGGCCCTGGCCCCTCGCCCCTCGCCCCCTGTGGCTGGGCAGTGGGCTCTGAAGGGCTGGTGGGTCTGAGGAACCCCAGAGAAGTGGCCAGGGATCAAAGGAGCGGACAAGTCGGTGCTGAGGCTGAAAGGGTGCGAAACGTGGGGACAGAGTGGCCTCGCTTGGAGGGAACCTGCTGGCCCCTCCGGCCCGGGAGCGTCCCGAAGGAGGAGCTGGGCTCCAGCTCTACAGGGAGAATGGGACAAGGCCACGGGGCTGGTTCCTAAGCGCAGACGGCCTATGCTTAGGGCACCAGCAAAGCAGGAGCCCCACAAAGGGTTCTGATAGGATACGCATTGTATGAGAATGGAGCAAGTAGTGCTCATCAGGGAAGAAGCCAGAACTTGTGGGACCTCACGCCACTTCAAGTGCTGTTTTCATTCTCAATTGCATTAAGGGAGAAGGGACGGCTGGCCCACGTGCACACACCTAGAGACAAGGCCCACCGAGGTGACATTGCTGAGGGTGATCAGAGGTTTGAACCTGTCTCCAGAATTGAGGCAGCTCTCCCTGTCCGTTCTCCAAGATCCCATTCTCCAAGAGCCGTGAAGGCTGCTGGACCGAGCAGGGAGGGAGTGGGAACCGGGGTAAAGGGAGCTGGGGGCCCGGGCAGACCCTGCTGTAAGTCACACCGCCTTTCCCAGGCCTTCTTTTCCGCCATTTAAAAGCCCATTAGTTATTCATGTTCTAAAATCCAACGATGGGAAGTGCGAACCCGGCCCCGCGGCCCAAAGGGAGCCCCGCTCCCCACAGCCCCCAGCTGGGCCCAGCTTTATTCAAGTGGCCCCCAAGTGCTTCCAGGACTTTCTTCACTAGCCCGGAAATGCCTACAGCATTCATCCCGTAACTGGGGTTTCTCTGTCAGAGGATTGTTCATTTTTGGTGACCTGTGGCCAGGTGTCCTCAGAACCTGCCCCTGCGCCCCCCATTTCCTCCACCCCTGCCCCGTGCCCCCACCTGGGACCTGTTGCTGCGAGCCAGTGCCACCGAGGGGGAGCACTCGGAGGGTTCGTTTTTCTTCCTTTTCATGTTCTGTAACCCCCAGCTTGTGTGTGTGTGCTCTCCCCGGGGCCCCCCCATCTCAGGGGCTGCCAGGACTCCTCGGGGCCTCCCGCCTCAACACCCTGCCAAACCCCTGTCCCCTCCAGTGGGCTGTGGTCCAGCGGTCTGCCTTCTGCCAGCTTTTCTACCTTCCTATCCCATTCTTCATCCCTGTCAGAGGCCTCAGCTGCCTGCCTGTCTGCCTGGCTGCCCCGGGCTCTGCGTCTTGGGGCCCTTGGGGCTTAGAAGTGGGGTCTCTGGCTAGCCCTCCAGCCCATGTGCGGCACAGACAGGGCCTGGCAGAGGCGCTCAGAACTTGGATGAGGGTTTGTGGGTTCGAAGGAGGGAAGGAGCCCTGGAAAAGCTGGGAAAAGTCTTCTCCAGGCCCCGCCCCTGCAGAGTTGTCGCCACCCAGGCTCTCCCTTGGATGGGGGACCGAGGAGAGACGCTCAGAGAGCTGGACCCCTAGCGTTAGGGAGGCAAGGCCAGGGTGAGAGGAGGGTAGCTCCCCACTGGAAGCCTTCAGGGGAATTCCTTTCCTTGGGGGCAGTCCTGGACCCCACCCCCACCGCCCCAGGGCCAGCTTACAGGCTCCGAGGGGGAGAGCTGGCCTGGCTGGGGCTTGGGGACCCCGCAGCCTCGCCTCTGTGCCACCCCACCCCCCCACCAGGGAATTGCTGGCTCTGAAGGGGGCCTGCCCGGCAGGGCTTGGTTTCCTGAGGTGGGAGATGCCCGAACCACCTCCCAGCCTCAGACCTGTAGTAGAGCTTGACCTCTCTTCTCCTGAAGCCTCTGTCCGAGGCCCGAGGAGCTGGCATGGGGTCGAAAAACCATTCTGGGAGGGGACCCCAGACAGCCAGGACAAAACCTGATCCACAAAACCCCTTCCTAGGTCTTCCTACGCCGTTAGCGTTGGAGGCCTGCTTCAGCCGCCGCTGCAGTGCGATCCGTTGGCTGAGGTGCAGGCGAGGGGATCTTGGCTTTATCTCCCTTTCTTAGAAGCAGTCTCAGTCTGTGGACCGACTTTCTTCCTGGGGAAGAACCGAAAGCCTTAACGGGTGGCAGAGCAGCCTGTGGCCCCGCCCCCGCTCAACAGATGAAGCCGGGGCACCATGCTTGCCAGGAATCGAACATTCCGGGCAGTTGGGGGGTGGGGGGTGGTGTATTTCTACCTCCACTGTCCAGATGAGGAAACTGAGGCTTCAGAGAGGTTCGGTAATGTCCCTAATGATATCGGGCCAGGAAAAGATGGCAAAGCATTTGCTGTTTACCCCATTGCCCGCCCCCATCACCGACACTTTCTCATACTTGGCTTTATACCACTGATCACTTTCTGAGATTATCCTGTCTCCTGCCTGTTGTCCCCGCTAGAGCAGGGACCCTTTCTAACTCACTGCTGCATAGGGCCTGGCACATAGTAGGCCCTCAATAAATATTTGTTGAATGAATGAGATGGGATTCAAACCCAGATCTGGCTGGGAGGCTTGTGTTTCCTGTCATGCAGAGTTGTGAACTACACGGGTCACAACTCAAAAGTTGTGCACTGAGCCTGCTAAGCCACCTGGCAGAGTGGGCAGGGACCCCACAGTGTTGTGACCCCTTTGAAAACCCTAGTGGAATCTTTGATCACCTACTGTGATCTTTGCAAGGCTCACAGAATTTTATTTCATACTCATTTGCTTGTCTCATTTGGGGATCCTGAAACTGGTCAGGAACGAGTTAACAAATGCCCTGGAAGTTCCCTCATGAGATGAGGCACAGCCTCAACCTAGACTCTGCTCCCTAACTGCCATTATCTGAGGGGGGGTGGCAAAGAGTGGGGACGTTATGGCGGCACTGGGTAGCAGGTAGCAAAGACGGGCCACTTTGGACAGACACCTACCACCTGGCTCTGGCATGTCCTCCTCCTCCCCCAAGCTCAATCCAGTCCTTTTTCCACTTAGAGGCAGCCACAGGAGCTTTAAAAAGGCCAACTAGAGCTTCTTGTTGTTCTGCTTGGACCCTCCAGCAGCCCCCTGCCAGGCCCTGCAGCCCTCAGGCCCTGCTGACCTCTTCGACTTTATCCCCCAGCGCTCTTGCCCTCTCTGCTGGGCACAGCTGTGGTGCCAGGCATCCTGCTGCCTGGCCCCCTTTCCTGACAGCCCCCCCATCTGCACTAGCTCCCTCAATCCTGTCATCCTGATTCCTTTTCTCTTAAGTTTCCTCTAGTTCTGTGAGCTTTTACTTGCTTGTTTCCTATCTGTCCCCTTGCCTCCAAGACCTTGTCTGTCTTGTGTAGCATCAAATGATGAGAATCTAGAAATGAATCCAACTCCTGGGCCTAGTCAGGTTCCAAAATGTATCTGGGGAGGAGAAAAAAAGCCCAACCAAAGCAATGCCTAATCTAGAGCCTGACATAAATAGCTCTCAAAAAATATGTTCCCTTCCTTTACTCCACTCTCTTCAGGTAATCTTTCTTGAAAGATGTGGCCTTTGAGGAATGCTTTGGGACCATCAAGGGATTGAATGGGAGGATTCTTAGCCCTGTCTTGTAGTCCCATCTGCCCTGCAGTACCCGCCCCCTCCCAACCTCATTTTACATGAAGAAGCTGAGGTCCAGAGAAGATGCAGGACCCACTCGGGCCTTTTGGATTATACTCCAAGTCTGATTCCCAGTCCAGTGCTCTTGCCCCACCTGACCCCCTTGTCTGTCCAGTTGAGAAAGCCTCAAAGTGGGTCTCCCTGTTGCCAGATCTTCACAGAGGCCAGGTTTTCCCCAAGTCCCCATCAGATCCTGCCCACCCCTGCTGAAACAGGGCAGCTTCCCATCACACTTAGAATAAAATCCAAATGTCTCCCCACAGCCGGTGTGTGGTCTGCGCCCTGCTGGTCTCACTCCTGTTCCTACCCCAGCTCCCCTTAGCTGCTGGCCTCTCTGTCCACGCCTCAGCCAGCCCAGCCACAGGCCAGGGCAGTGCCTTTGTGCTGCTGTTACCTCTCTTGAGACTTTCACAGCCTTTGTCCCTTTGTGCCAATCAAATTAATGTCCTCAGGGAAGCCCTCCCTAAACACCCCATCTGAAGTAGGGTTACCCCCCCACTCTTGCATCTTTCACAAATCATTTTTCCATGTTTTCCTTCATAGCACTTAACATTACTTGAGAATTTTTGGATTGATCGACCTAGTTTCCCTGCCCCACCCTAAGGTCAGCCGGTCTAGCGTGTCTTCGAATCCTCTGTACCTGGCACACAATAGATGCTCAATAAACATTTGTGTGAATAAGTGAAATACAAAGGACCCTCCTGGGGTACAGAGATTTAGCCCGGTCAAATCTCTTGGGGCAGAAAATGCCCCAAGTGTTAAACTAGGTGTCTGGAGAGCCTGGAGGCGGCGTTGAAGGCTAAAACGGCCTCTTCCCGCCCAACCCCAGCCCTCTTGACTGGCAGGGTTGCGAGAGGAGTTGGTTCCCCGAGCGAGCATCTGCAAGGGCCGCGACGGCTGGCAGTGGTGTGTGCGGTGCATCCCGGCTCCCCGCGCCCGGGCCGGGGCGTGTGGGCGGGACGGGCACGCCAGCCGGGGCCCAAGGGACGCCTTGAGGTCTGGAGCGTGGGAAGGACCCCAACGCCAGGGTTAAAAACCACCCGTGGGGATGTGGCGACGACCGAGGCCACGGTCCACGGTGGGGATCTCTGGGGGCAGAAGGAAGAGAGTTCCCGGGACACGCTGGAAAGCTGCTCAGGGCTGGCTCCCGCG